CCCCCCACCCTACCCCAAATTTTTTTTCGACTTACACATTTTAAGATAAAAAGGCCTTTTTTATGCAAGATGAGCATGATTCTAAAACATAGATCAAGTTAGGCGGGTTGGGTTATGACCCATTGTTTAGCTCATCTTGACCCAACCCATCTTAGCCCAAGTACACTTGGGCTGGGTTGGACAAATACCCATTTCTTAACCTAACCCATCTTGACCCGCCCAGATTTAGCCCAACCCGCCCATTTGCCACCCCTAGTGAACACAAATACAATTTATTGAACTTTTAACTAAATTCAAGGTTGATTGCATATAATTTATTATAATAATGTCAGGATTGTATTGGTGCAATTGATGGAACACATATACGCGTTAAAGTTTCACAATGTGAAGCACTCAGATACCGTGGAAGAAAAGATTATCCAACACAAAATGTATTGGCTGCATGCACATTTGATTTAAAATTCACATATGTGTTAGCTAGTTGGGAAGGGACGGCATCTGATTCAAGAATCATGAAAGAAGCGTTAAATAGACAAGATCCGCTAAAACTTCCAGAAGGTAAATATTTCATATATTTATATAGGGAAAGTTAGAGGTGATGAATAAATAATTAAAGTTTTTTACTTTTTATCTTTAGGAAAATACTACCTTATTGATGCTGGATTGATGTTGAGAAGTGGACTTATTACGCCTTATCATGGGGAGCAATATCACTTGAAAGAGTATTCAAGAAATCCATCCTCGAAATCCTCGTGAATTATTTAATCTGCGACACGCATCTTTGCGTAATGCTATTGAAGGAGCTTTTGGAGTTCTTAAAAAGAGATTTCCTATAATTTCTAGTTCAACTGAACCGTCATATAGTGTTGAAACCAAAAAGCTTATTATTTTTGCATGTTGTATTTTGCACAACTACTTAAGAGGTGCATATCCAAATGATGAGTTACTTGCACAAGTTGATGCAGAGCTTGTGAATGATAATGATGCGCATGACGAACCACCAAATCCTTGGCAAAGTAATGAGGAGTTTAGAAGGGGGGAGTTGATTAGAGATGGCATAGCAGCTAACATGTGGGCTAATTATCAAGTTTAATCTTCTAGGAGAGAAAAAGTCAACAAATGTTTTCGTGTTTATTTATTTGATGTTGTTTGAAAGTAATTTCGGCTATTATTTGAATAAAATATATTATATACTATGCATTTATTTTATTTTATAGCTCTTACAAATATTATGTCTGATAAATTTTTTATTAAGTCTTATGAATATCTCTTAATTATGTAGTTATCAATATGCCGAAAAGGTCAAAGACATCCTCAGGCGACACAAATCTTTCAGATAACACTTTTGTTTGTATTTGGTCAAATGCTATGGATAATGCCTTAATTGATGCATTCTATCATGAGCACACACTTGGAAACAAGGTTGGTGGAACTTTTACTGCATACACGATTGACAATATAGTGAAAGAGATGCAATCAAAATTTTCAGATAAACTTTTTACCAAGGAGAGAGTTCACAACCGAATGAGAAATATTAAAACAAAATTTAGCGAGTGTTATGACACATTTCAAAATGGGATGAGCGGGTTTGCATGGGATTCCAACACAAATATGTGGAATGTTGAATCTGAAGTATGAGATCAATTGATACAGGTACATTTATTTTTAGCAGTTTTGTTCTTGATTTGCATCTTATAATGTTTATCTCATTTTCTGCATTATTATATTGTACTTTTTTTGTGTGCAGATTAAGCCTGAAGCTGCTGAATGGAGAAACAAGCCGATTAGAAATTATGATAAGCTAATTGAGCTATATGGAAGGGATAGAGCTACTGGAAAGTAAGCTGAGACTGGAGCAGATATGGCAAAAAGGGGTGCTCGTAATAATTTGAGAAAATCAAGTGATAATTCATTGACTATTGATGAGGTAGATGAACTAATTTCCATGAATGCTGCCTCTTTGGAAAATATCGAGGAACATCGACAACATGAGCAATATTAATCAACTCAGGAAGCATGTAAATCCAATGCATATTCAGAGGTACCTACTTCTAGCAGGAATAAAAAATCTAAACATGATCATCTTGAAGGCATGGCTGATATGTTGAGAGGTGAGATGAATAATTTGGCTAATGCAATTAATCGCCTTTCAACTATGCCACCTATTCCTGAGAGTGAGATATGGAAAATAGTATAAGTGTTGGATTTAGAGCCTAGTATGCACATGAAAGCTTATATATTTCTTTGCAAACATGCAGTCTTGTGCCGCATACTGATTGGGTGTCCATTGGAAGGCCGCAAATTTCTTTTACTGACCTTGATGTCGTCACTGGCAATTGAGTTAGACTAAATTTTTTTTGTGCTTTAGCTATTGAGGATTTTATGGACTTTGACTAGATCGATATGAATTTTATATGTCATGTTGCTAGAAATTTTTATTATATTATGCACTTTAAGAGTTTAAGTTATGGATTATTTACCACATTAAAGGTCATGAAATCAAGATCCGTTGTCTACTCTGTTTTGATGGGGCAATCAAGAGAGATTGACTGTGGATAACTGAGTTAGAAATGGAGTTCACATTATTCCACTTCATGTGGATTTTCAGTTTGGAATTATTTAGTTTCTTTGAGATATGGAACAATATCATCTTTTTCTTTATTTTTTCCTCATTTTCAGATTTCATGGAGTTACTTTTCTATCTGTTGAATTGTGTGGATTGAGTTCATCTAAATGTTTACCTATATTAAAAAAATGAGAATTAATTACAACAACAAAGGAGGTCTATAGAAATTAGTAATGGTTTCTTATTTGGATGTGAAAACAAAATGGAGAATGTTATTCACATGAATGCCCGTTTTAGTATGTTCTTACATTTGTTTTTTCTATATGTATATCTTGTTTAAAATAATTGAGGGTATTTTAGTAAACTTAGCAGTACAGTACAATAAAGTCAAACCAAACAATAAAGATGTTATTTAACAACAGCAAATAATACAGTCTATCCAAACGTTGTATCCATCAAAACGATACAATACAGTACAGTACAATACAATACAATACATTATTAAACGATGGGGAACAATGATCCAAACACAGTGTAAGCTGAACTCGGACACCACTTAATGAGTTCTACCCACCTGTCTGTCTGAACCTGCACTCATGAAATGCAGTACTAGGCTCGCTCATAGGCGCTCTGCCATACTAGGCTCTATATCTCGGTCAACTGGACTCGCTCATAGGCGCTCGGCCACATTAGGCTCGGTATATAATTTACCATCTGATCAAAGGTTACCCAATAGGGGTCTGCCCATCGATTATAGCTCGATGGTCAAAAAAAAAAAGGTATAGGCCCTGGCTGTTCTAGAATATATTCGCTATTTATTTTAAATGTTTAATTAAACGTGCATTAAATTTGTCTCTAAGACGTTCACTTTATACCAAATAATAAACTACTGACTTAGTAGAATCTTTAGTTCGCCAAAGCATATACATAATCAATTATGTAAATAAATAGACGCAAATTTTATAATTCAACCCAAATTGGCATAGGATACTTTGTAGAAATGAGAAATTGAGAAGCTACCTTGTTTTTTGTGTGGTAAATAAGCAGTTTTATTACCAACTAAGAGAATTATAGCTGAAGATAAAAAAGAAAAATAGCAAACTGGACTACCCTGGATTTTCACTCCAACACTACTCAGTTCACCATGTCAAATAGCTTAGATTCCTTAGGGGTCGTTTGGTTTGAATACGGCTTATGCCGAGATAAGTTATATTGGTATAAGTTATGTTAGGATAAGTTATGCTGGGATTATTTTTGATCCATTATTTGGTATGTTGTATTAAATATGACAATTGCATAATTTGTAAGAAGAATATATATGTTATACAGGTGCTTGTAAGCACGTGATTTTTGCCCTATATGAGAATTACTCCCAAAAAATTCAAAAAAATAAAA